CCCTTGTGTTCAAAGTAGAATTGTTTGATAGGGTTTTCTTTTTTTTAAAAAATGTATATATATTTGATGTGTTTTAGGTGAGAGATTACAGAGCAAGTCAGGTTTCCATTTAACAATTTTTATACAGGTTGTTTCATGACATTGGTTACAGTTTCCACATGTGCAGCATTCTTATTTCCATTATCTTTGTTCTGTTTCCCTTCCCTTCCTTGCCTTTCCATCTTGGCTTTTGGGTAAACGTTAACTGTTTGGTCTTGTATAGTTGATTGTTTAAGGAAGCATATTACTCATGAATGATGTTGTTTATTTTATAAAGCTACTCTATTATGTGGCTGAAAGGTAACCTTCAGAAATAGCTTCATTTCAAAGTCCAAAGGATTTCTTATGGCAGTAGTCCTGGGGTTTCTTAGTTTCTACTGGTCCAGTAAGTCTGGCCTTTTTTAGGAATTTGAATTTTGCTGTACATTTTTTCTCCCATTCTATCTGGACATTCTATTGCTTCCATGGTCAGAACGATTTGGTAGTGGTAGCTGGATACCATCTAGTTTTTAAGTCTCAGGTTAGAAGTGGCCCTGGTTCATGTAGGGTATTAGTTCTGTGGACTAGTTTCTTCTTTAGCCTTTGATTTCCTTCATTCTATTTCACTCCATATGAGTAGAGAATAGAGAATAGTTGTATCTTAGATGGCCACTTGTAAACTCCCAAGACCCCAGACACTGCTCACCAAACTAGAATGCAAAACATTATCTTTATGAACTGTACTATGCCAGTTGACTAAGTTGTCCCCCAAGACTGTGGTCCTAAGCCTTTTAACCCAGTAAGCCAATCCCATGAGTTGTTTGGATATATCTGGGAAGCCTCTGCCGCTCTGCCCCATGTGCTTTGTTATATATAGATATATATGCAGTGCATATAAACATGTATTTGCCTACAGATATGCCTATACATGAACATGCATTTACTGTCATATGCCTTCTCATACACATATGTCCATATGTATCTACCTATATAACCACACATATTTTTTGGTGATTGTTACTGTTCTTGCAAAACTGTATCTGCTACAGCATTTACCAAAATTATCCCTTTTTCTTATATACTTCTTAGTATCTTTAGTTACCTTGGTCAAGTTGTGCTGACTGTGCCCATATTTGATGCTGCTTTTCCCCCCACCAAAAGTAACAAATGTCTGCTATCTAGAAAGTGATTCACCTCTCTCTCCCTCCCATCCCTGATAACCATCAAACAACATTGGTTTCTGTGTGTTTATCTGTTTCTGACTTTTTTATAATAGTGAGGCCATGTGGTATTTCTCCTTTTGTGATTGACTTATTTCAATCAGTGTGATGTCCTCCAGATTAATCCATTTATTTTCATGGACTCTTCATTCTCTACAGTTGCAATAGTATTCCATTGTATGTAGGTACAAGTACTCCTCCTCATTTGCCAACAATGGTTAGGTTCCAAAGACCAGGTTGTTATACAAAAATTGACATTATACAAAAATGGAGGGTGATCACATCAGATCACAAAATGGAGGATGACTACATCATTACATAACTGCCAAACCACTGAGAATCATGGCCCAGGCAAGTTGACATATAACCTTAACTATCATTGTGTTTCTTTTGCCTCAAGCCTTGGCATTTGTTATTGCCAGAGTTGCTGTTAATGCACGAAACCGGTAAAGTTCTCACTTCTGTCATAAATGCAAAATGTTGGGTAATGAGATGGTCGATAAGTGAGTAGTAGATGTGTCACAATTTGTTTTGTGATTCATCTGTTGATGGATACTTAGGTTATTTCTGTCATTTTGCTATTATGAATAATGTCGCAGTGGACATAGGTGTGCATATGTCTGTTCACTACTCATATCTCTTGGATATATGCCTAGGAGTGGTATTACTCGATCATAAGATATTTCTATTTCTAGCTTTTTGAGAAAATGACATTTCATTTCCCACAGTGGTTATACTAACCATTTACAATCTGACTAGCAGTGTCAGAATAAGAGTTCTAATGTTTTTTTTAATCACTTTGCAGTGATGAGATGATACATCACTGCGGTTTTGATTTGCATCTCTCTAATGGCTAATGATTGTGAGCATCTTTTCATGTATTTGTTACTCTCCTGAATGCCCTCTTTGGTGAAGTATCTGTTCATGTTGGTGGGTTTTGTTTTTAGCTATAATCTTTACAGAGGCAGGTCGGTAGGCCTTTTCTTCTGTGGTACTGCTGGGTGGGTTTGAACCACCAGCCTTTAGCAGTCCAGTGTGAACCATCTGTGCCACTTATGGGCCATTTATAAAGATTATAGCCAAGAAAGCCTTATGAAACTGTTGTACTCGGTAACATACAGGGTTGCTATGATTTAGGATTGACTCGGTAGTAAATATTTTGGGTTTTTTGGTGGTAATTTAAACCAAGGTTTTTTGTTTGTTTTGTTGTTTTTTAAGACTGAGTCGAAGTTTGGAGCCTGAGTTCAGACATGTGGGTGCCTGAAAGTGCTTGGCATACCAGTAATTATATGTTAGTAGAGTTTTAGGAAGTGTGTATAGAGATCTGTGTTGGGAAGGTAGGATTTAGATTTTATTTCAAGGTAGGGAAAGCCTTTGAAGTTTTTAACGTGAGGGAAGGTTGGAAATGACACTGATTTAGAGATATGTTCCAGAAGATGGGTATGTGCAGTGCAGTGAGTTACGTGGTATGGCTTTTCTAGCCTAGTCTTTGTAACTCCTACTAGATTACTGTGTAGAACTGTGATGTTGGGATTGGCTAGTTTTTTCACTTTGCCAGGCTTAAAATGAGCCCTTCTAGAGGCAGAGAGGGGATCTCACTGCCATCAAGAGAGAATAGCTAGAGGTGAGGTGGAGTGTGTCCTTGAACCTAAGATCCCTGTGCTGGACCTCCTTGGCTGAGAGATGCCCTGGTGGAGAGATGCCCTGGCCAGTGGAGAGATGGTGGCAGTGGAACCAAGAGGCACAAGACAGAGTGGCGGGCTTACCTGGCCTACAGAGGCAGCCAGAACAAGAGGCCAAGGGCGAGAGAGGAGTGTCTGAGGGCACAGCAGAGGGGAGACTGTCCTGATCGTAGAGTTGTATCCTGAGAGTGTTTTTCAACCTGAATTGTAGCTTGCTGCTTCCCTAATAAACCCCATAATCTTGAGTATTATCTGTCAATTCTGTGTAGCCATCACAATGAATTACTGAGTCCAGCAGAGAAGCAGTGAGTACCGTGGGAGGGACGGTTGATGTCAAAGTTGGTAAAAATGCTGGAAGGTGGCAGCATGTCTGGCCTCACAGGAATAAGCCTTGGACTGCTGATGGTGATTCTGTTTCCCTCTTGTAAAGTTAGAGGAGGTCAGAAGATGCTGCCTCCATGTCCTTTTTGCAGTATAGGCTTACCAAGAGGAAATAAAAAAGACAAATTTGAATACTGTTAGAGTTGTGCTGTTAAGATCATATGAGAGGCTGAACTAGTTCAGTGGTAAAGGAAAAAAAGGATGAATTTGAAGGATACTTAGGAGGTAAGATCTTCAGGCTTGGGGAAGAAGAATGAGATCAAGAAAATCTCTAGGTTCCTGACATGTTGTTGTGAGTAATGGTGCTGTCACTAAGATAGCAGATACAAGAAGGGAGGGCAGGTTATGGGATAAATGTGCATCTTGTCAATTTTTTTTTTTTTTTTTTTGGCATGTGTATGTTTGGGAGAGAGAATATTAAATATGATTTTTTTTTTTCTAAAGTAGATTTATTGTTTTTTTTTTTTTCCCTAACCGTAAAGTAAGGAGCTCTGGTAGCATAGTGCCTGAGACACTTGACACTTGACTACTAGCCAGAAGGCTGGTGGTGGTTCAAACCCACAAGCCATTCCTCGGAAGGAAGGTTGGGCAATCTACTTCCATAGTGATACTGCCTCGGAAGCCCAAGGAGGGGTCACTATGAGTTGGGGCTGACTTGACAGCACATAACAACAACAACTATAAAGTTAACATAGGATAAAGAGAAGCAGAACAGGAGTTTTGTTTTATATAGGGTTAGGTTCTTCAGTCAGTATAAAAGGTGAAAATGTGAATAGCTCTGGTAACATAGTGCCTAAGGCACTTGACTGCTAACCAGAAGGCTGGCGGTTCAAACCCACCAGCCACTCCTCGGAAGGAAGATGGGGCAATCTACTTCTGTAGTGATACTGTGTTGGAAACCCAAGGAGGGGTCGCTATGAGTTGGGTCCGACTCGACGGCAAATAACAACAACGACAACAACTTCCTATCACTTAGAATTTACAGTAAAATTTGTGAGATTTGATGTGATTTATATAATAACACAAAGTATGTAATAAAGAGTACTTTGTGGGCATCAAACACAGAAGCAAGGGCTACAACCAGTGTAAAATACTGGGCAACATCACTGGAATGCAGGTCTCATGGCAGGAAGTGACAGGAGATGAAGCCAAAAATTGGATTGACAGTGGATTGTGGAGGGCTAGGAATACTATGCTGAGAAATTGGGGTTTTCATCTGAAGGCAAAAAAGAGTCAGTTTAATCTTTTATCGAACATCTAGTTTATTCTCATTTAAACTTCACCATGACTCTGAAGTATATGCTGCTGTTTTGCACATGAGGAAAGCTCTGAGAGGCATGTTCATGAGTGGGATTGCCCGTAATATATAATTTTCTCTCTTTTCTAGAGTTAATATAATTTGCATAAATTGAGTGTGAGAATGATATGATTCTATAAAGAAAATATTAAATCATTCATTATCTCAGCCCTTAGAGATAGCCATTTATTAAATGCATTTGTTAAATGAACTTTTCTTCCAAAACAGGCACAATGTGTTGATTTTGAGAATTTTATGGTATGTGTTTGTTCCCTAAAGTGCTTCTTAGTCATTTTAACTTCTTTAATTCTTTAATGGCTATGGAAAATTCGTTTATTAGTGTTTCCTAGCATTACATTGCTTTTTCCTTATTTCTGAAAGAAAATAAATTTTATCTTGCAGGAACTTGTTTAATGAGCTGAGGATTGTTGTTGAACACATAATAATGAAACCTGCTTGCCCACTGTTTGTGAGAAGACTTTGTCTCCAGAGCATTGCCTTTATAAGCAGACTGGCACCAACAGTTGCATAGTTTAATATCCAGTTAAGTTACATATAAGCATTATTAGCAGCTGGTACTTCTGCTAGGGGGTTGTAAATTCCAGGTGTCACACTGACCTCAATCCAATTGACATAAATGCATCTCAATGGAAAATCATTTTCCAGGTATGTTAAATCAAACCTTTTAAAAAAAGTTTTCAAGAAAATTTTACCTTGCTCTGTTGGTAACGAAGTTTGTATCTTGTGATAAATGTACCAGATTGTTTGGATTCTACTGTGCTTATATCATGATGTACATTTATTTCTCTTAAAAAAAAAAAAAAAAAGTCAATCTGATTGGTAAGCTGACTCTCTATCTGGCATGAGTTCATTATGGTAATGTTCGTACGTGTGAATTCAGTACATTTTTGACAGTATTCTTTTGCCATTCAGTAATTTTGGTTCATGATTTTAGCAGATGCATTTCCCACTGAATTTAATTTCACCAGCTGTTAGATTGACTCTGTGCTGCTTTGGTGGGGCAGATTTATTTGGATATTCCATTATAAAAGAAATTCTCTCTATATATATATCTTTCCAGACTTTGTTTCCTTAAATATTTGTGGCTTTGAATATTTTTTAATAAAAAGAAAAGGACTCAAATACAAGCTTATCAACCAATAGGGTAAATACTTGGAGTCATTTAACCATTTCACATCAGAAAGTACCGTATTTTTATCATATAATGTGCCTATGTAAACAACGTGCACACATATAACACTCGTAGCAGCCCGTAAGAAACTAATGCATGAGGGGGTTGTGTGGTTTGAAAAAGCTTGCGCATAGTGCACTCATTTTTTGTGTAAGAATACATATGGTACTTATACAGCTTTCCTTTGGGTAATGCTTCTCAAACAGAAAATCTTTCTTTTACAAATGTGAGCATAGGTTATTAGTATTATTATAGTTTGTAGAATTACCCAGCTCAAATTCTTGACTGCCAGTTTTCTCGGTTTCTTAGGCTTGAATTTTCATAGACAATTACAGGAATTCAGATACCTTTGGAAAGGAATGTAACTGAAAATTGAGCATGCGCCCACCTAACTAGGTGTCTATTCTGAAATAATAATGAAGATTATTCTGTAGATTACATATTTACCCATCAAATCTGATTTAAAAGGTTAAATGAAAAGGTTATAGATAAAATATTTGGTTGAGAATGGGGCTGGGGGGAGTTGTGGGGGAATAGTGTGTACAGATAAATTCGGGGGAATTGGGTATATTATGCATATGTGATTTGGATTGGGTGATATGGTAAATCCTGTTAAGCTTCTTTATAAAATTCATTTTGATCTTTATTGTTGCACGATTGGAAATGTTTAAACATTATAAAATTTTAATATAGAATAATGCAATGGTTTTTGTAACTGATTTTCTTCTTTCTGCATGTAATTTGGATTTATCTAATACATTCATTTTTAATTTATCAGTAACATCAGTTTTCTTTTTGTTCAGTGTCCAGAGTGAGACAAAGATGGTATTCTTAGGATAGATTACAAAAAGTTCTACTTGATAGTTGTTACTTGCTTCAAATCAGCTGTTACTAGCTATTTTTGTAGTGTTGATCCACTAAGTTGGAGAAGCAGCCTCATACTATACAGTTGTTTGTGTATGTCATTGATAGTATAAAAATGAAAATACCTAGAGCAATAAAGTGACTGTAAAGTAAACAGCATATTATTGATTCCTAATGATGTTTAAAAAAATTGAGTCTTGAATTATATCACATTTTGGCAACTGATGACATTTATTTTGAAGTTAATAGCTTTTGTTTGTTTTCTACAATTTTGAAACAAATCTTTTGATGGTCTTAGATTTAGGGAAGAATTGCAAAAATAGTACAGAGTTTCTGTATATCTTTTACTCAGTTTCTTCTTAGGGTAACATTTTATATAACTTTAGAACATTGATCAAAACTAAGTAGTGGACTCTGGAACAATGTGACTAAAGTAAAGAACTTACTCAGACTCACCAGTTTTTCCATTTTCTTTTTGTGTGCTGCTCTGTTTTTACCATGACCACCTTTTAATGACCTGTAAGTGTGTCTCATTTTTTAGTTTTTCCTATTTATTTTGAAAATCAAAAAGATTTCCATAAAGGAAGTTACTCATTCTGGTTTTAACAAAGAGAATTTTTAACAGTAAAACTACTACAAATGAAAACATTCCTTTAAATTGACACTTCGTCACACATAACAGGATCATAGTCCCTGTTATGTTGGTCCTTAAAGGAAAGCTTAATTTATAAATAAAACACTCTTAAACCCCTGAAAAAGGAGCCATGGTGGTGTAGTGGTTAAAGCCTTGGTTGTTAACGAAAAAGGTCTGTGGTTTGAACCCACCAGCTGCTCTGCAGAAGAAAGATGCGGTGGTCTCCTGGAAAGGTTTACAGGTTTGGACGCCCACGGAGGTCACTATAAGTTGGAATTGACTTGATGGCAGTGAAGGTTACTATTATTTATTTATTTTATTTTTTTTTTCGTAATCTCCTGAAAAGGAGCTTTGGTGGAGCTGTGATTAAAACATGGGACTGCTAACCAAAAGGTCAGTGGTTCGAATTCACCAGCCACTTTGCAGGAGAAAGACAAGGCAGTCTGCACCCATAAAGATTTAGAAACCCTGTGGGCCTTTTCTTTTTCCATTATGGTTGCTGTGAGTTGGAATCCACTTGATGGCAGTAGGTTTTTTAAGCAGCTGAAAAAGTAATTTTACAATATGAATATTATTAAATGTTTAGTTTGTATGAAATTGTAGTTAGAAATGCAACAGTATGAATATGTACAACCAGTTGATTTGGCATCAGAATTTAGTGTAACTTGCAGTATATAGAGTGAATGTCATATAAGAAATTAACTCTTACTACATAGATAAACTTATGTTTGCTTACGCATTTAAAAGAATTTGATTTAACATGCAGAAAATCTTAATTCTTCAGCAAGTGGTATAATACCATTTTTCTTCTAATAATTTTCCAGTAAACTCTCTTAGACAGGTGAAAGCCTCGTACAAAACCTGCTTTAATCTATATTCCTTTTGTGTACTTGGTTCTTCATGAATTTAAACTTCTTAATGTTAGTCAGAAGAGACATTACTTAAATACAATTTGTATTTAAATTTTCTTGGAACATCTCTGAGGTGGTGCTCCTAAAAGAAAACAAGCAAGAAGGCTAACTTTAGTGTTTTTTTTTTTTTTTTTTTAATAAATTTGCCTATTTAGGGAGTTTTTTACTGAAAAAATCAAGACATGCCACAAAGCCGAGGTTATGGATGATCAGTGAAGTGACATCCTCATATAATGAAGACTTGCAAAGCTATTAATTAGAATGCTTCCTAAAAACAAGCATAAAAAATTCACATTAGGTGTAGAGGTTTAGCACGTAAATATTTTTTTCATCCTGAAAGGGAAAAAGAGTATATGTATGTGTGCATGTGTGTGTGTGTGTATGCATGCAGATCTGAAGAATTTAGTTTTAAAAATACTTCAGATAAGAATGAATGAAACTAATTCTGAGAGATTATAGTAAAGACCCTTAATGAGTACTGAAGAATTTATTTTGATTAATACAGTTATTCTGAACACCTTCCCCAGCCCCCCAACTAGGATCTAGTCTCAAATTGGACTAATTTTGATACTTGTTCAGGAATGAAAATCTCAAGGGAGAAAGTAGCCACGGAGAGTTATGTTTATAATCAGTAGGTGGCACTCTTTCCTCAGGTAGTCCCCCAGTTTCAGATGCATTGTTGAAAGGTCACTGAAAATGCTTGAGTCAGCCATAAAACTAAAGATCTGAATTTCACAACCCTTTTAATGTGTAATTATTTCATACTCAACACATATTTAGTAAGCATTTACTATGAGTGCATTTATTCATAATAAAATGTTCAGCACTGGAAGAGTACCCTATCAATATCTTGCTTTCAAAGAAAAGAGTAAAATAGGGCACACTTGGGAGTGGCATTACTCAGCTCATGGTCTTTTTTGTTTTTTTCACTCTTAAGTGCCTGACTCACCTCAACATCAGTTATAAAATCATTCTTGTTCCTTTGCTGTGTAGAAAAACTTTACTTAAATTTTTTTCCATTACCATTTTGTAGGTACACTAGATACAGCAGTTCCACTTCTTTTAAAATTCATAACTTTGCACAGTAGTTCAAAACTACATAATGAATTTTTTGGGTATTCTATCAAAAGTGGTAAGTAGATTTGGAAATTCAGTTTGGGTTGAAGAGGCAATTAGTTTTTCTCAACACATTGTTGGAGTTTCTCTGGGGTTGGAGTTCCACAGAGGCTATCTGATGGTGTAGCTTAATGGATAGTATACCAACGGCTTGTGTTTATAAATCCAGGAGTTAGTCCCACAGATTGTTTTAATGACCAGTCCTCTTGTAATATTCTGGGTGGAAGATTATTATCGGGCATGGTATTAAGGTTAACAACAACAACAAAAAAACCCTCCTAACTCACTACCGTCAAGTCAAATCTGACTCATAGCGACTCCTTCTTGGGTTTCCAAGGTGGCCTGGTAGCATAGTGGCTAAAGCACTTGACTGCTAACCAGAAGGCTGGCGGTTCAAACCCACCAGCCACTCCTCGGAAGGAAGGTTGGGCAATCCTACTTCCGTAGTGATACTGCCTCGGAAACCCAAGGAGGGGTCGCTATGAGTCGGGGCCGACTCGATGGCACATAACAACAACAACAACATCACTATGGAAGTAGATTGCCCAGTCTTCCTTCCGAGGAGTGGCTGGTGGGTTTGAACCACCAGCCTTCTGATTAGCAGTCAAATGCCTTAGGCACTATGATGAAAGGAACTGCTAAAAGATTGGGGAGGTTTCCTGGTGGTAGTTATCTTAGGAAATGTTTATCTTCTGAAATAGTATTCAGGTGGGGTTCTTTAGAAGGAACCCTTTCCAGTGTGTGGGATTAAGTCCAGTAGCCTTTTGACTTCAGCATATAGGAAAACTGATCTACACTAAGTTTGAGTTGAAATG